TCCAGGTGGGGTCTCACCAGAGCAGAGTAGAGGGGCAGAATCCCCCCCCTCGCCCTGCTGGCCACGCTGCTTTGGCTGCAGCCCAGGATACCATTGGCCTTCTGGGCTGTGAGCGCACGTTGCCGGCTCATGTCCAGCTTTTCGTCCACCAGTACCCCCAAGTCCTTCTCGGCAGGGCTGCTCTCCATCCCTTCGTCCCCCAGCCTGTACTGATACTGGGGGTTGCCCCGACCCAGGTGCAGGACCTTGCACTTGGCCTTGTTCAACCTCATGAGGTTCACACGGGCCCACTTCTGGAGCTTGTCCAGGTCCTTCTGGATGGCATCCCGTCCCTCTGGCATGTCAACCGCACCACTCAGCTTGGTGTCATCTGCAAACTTGCTGAGGGTGCACTCGATCCCACTGTCTGTGTCATTGATGAAGATATTAAACAGTGCCGGTCCCAATACGGACCCCTGCGGGACACCACTCGTCACCTATCTCCATCTGGACATTGAGCCATTGACCACTACCCTCTGGATGCGACCATCTAACCAATTCCATAACCATCTCTCTGGGCAACCTGTGCCAGTACTTGGTCACCCTCACAGTAGAAAAGTGTTTCCTGATGTTCAGGGAGAACCTCCTGCACCTCAGTTTGTGCCCATGGCCTCTGGTCCTGGCACAGGGCACCACTGAGAAGAGCCGGGCTCGGTCCTGTTGGCACCCTCCCTTCAGGTATTGATAAGATCCCCCCAGGGCCTTCTCTTCTCCAGGCTGAGCATTCCAAGCTCCCTCAGCCGTCCCTCACAGGAGAGATGTTCCAGCCCCGTCAGCATCTTTGCGGCCCTTTGCTGGACTCTCTCCAGTATGTCCGTGCCTCCCTTGTACTGGGGAGCCCAGCGCTGGACACGGCGCTCCAGGCCTGGCCTCACCAGTGCTGCGGAGAGGGGAAGGCTCACCTCCCTCGACCGCAACACTCCTCATGCTGCCCGGGAGACCGTTAGCCGCCTTTGCCGGATCGTGTTGAGCTTGGTGTTCACCAGGACCCCTGGGGCCTTTTCCACAGAGCTTTTCCAGCTGGGTGGCCCCCAGCATACACTGGTGCCGGGGGTTGTTCCTCCCCAGGAGCAGGACTTTGCGCTTCCCCTTGTTGAACTCCGTGAAGTTCCTGTTGGCCCATTTCTCCAGCCTGTCCAGGTCCCTCCGGACGGCAGCACGACCCTCTGGCGTCTCAGCCACTCCTCCCAGCATGGCGTCACCTGCAGACTTGCCGAGGGTTCGCCCTGCCCCATCATCCAGATCGTTAATGAAGATGGTAAAGAGGGTCGGACCCAGCACTGACCCCCCTGGGGTACACCGGTCGTTACTGGCCTCCAACTAGACTTTGGGCCGATGATCACCACCCTCTGGGCTT